GAAACCGCATTATGCTTCTTTAGGATATCATATGTTCAATTTAAAATTAATTAATTGATGGTGTTAGGTTCCCCCAGGACGCCTAATTACTATCTTTGGGGAAAAACGGCGAGGCTCCGGGAACTCTACTACACCACCGTACGCAAACATTTGTCATATCACAACTGCGTCCCATTTTCACCGCGATAGAATTTTAGTTGAGGGCAACTTCTAGACTAATCTTGAAACGAACTAGACTCTAAAAAATCTGAAAACATTCGATAAAATGCTAAATTAGGGACTGGACCAGTTGAAATGTGATGGTACGCTTGCGACATGCCGATTGTTTGTGGTCGCATACGAGATCGCCACTCATGGATATTTTATACAATTTTAAGGACTGACTGCTATTACCTTTGGAAATGTGATTAATGGTGTGTCAAAATTTGGATCCTTTACAACATTTTCAATTGGATCTGTTGTCGTCTCTGTGTCGCCAATAATAAGCTCCAAATATGGCCGACGAATGGAGAGGAACTAAAAGCAATCAGGCCACACTCGTGTACCCACTATACCATGTATGTGATCGCAAGTGGCACGTAGAAAGCGAATGCACCATCATACTTGCGCATCTTGCTTGAGCACTTCCTATGCAAACTGGCCAACAGCGCGAGAGGCTGCGGCGCGTGCGCGAAGCGGCAAGTTCATAACGCTTTCTCCCGCAAAATGCGATAGGAACTTTATATTGAAGTCCCTGTCTACCTACTTTTGTTGAGCTTTTTTTAAAATTCCACTCACATTGTGTTTCTTCAAATTTCGAACTCCCCAGCAAAGAACCTGCACTGCAAAATTGTCAAACTTCGGTCTTAGCTCACCAGGAATTTCAAAGCGCATGCTGAAACAAAAATCAGAATTTATAAATTTCTGTAGGGGAATGAATGGGGAATGAAAATCTCACTCAACACTTTTCCTTGCTGGTAAGAGAGGTAATTCATCCTTATTGAACTGATCGGCATAAAATAGCTCAAAGCAAGCAAGTATAGCACCTCTGAACAGAAACTGTTTTCGAAAACCTCCCTTCTAGAGAAGGGTAGTCGAACCTTGTTTTAGCATTTTGGAATGTTAATGTGTGCCAGCTAGGCTTTGCACGTGAGTCTGTAGTGGCACAAATAACAGTTGGTGCAGATTCGAATCGTCCAAGGAAAATCTGAATCTTGAATTAATTGAAGAATTTGATTGATTGTTTAGCTTCAATACCTCGCTTTGATCTTTTCTTTCACCGCGTGCTTCTACCAATACTGCCGGGGGATTCCAACTTATCTGCCTTTTGCCGCCGGTGATAAGCACCTAAATTCAGGAAAAAGAATTTAAAAGTAAATTTTAAAAATTACTATGGACATGCGCACACCTTCTGAAAAATCAACGTTTCGTTCCAAATGGGATTTTGTGAGTTTTCTACTACTAGAGTTTGCTGTG